CTCATGGGCACTATAAAGGACTACGGGGCTGCAGTGAAGGGTCGGGCCAAGATCTCCCGGGACAATTCCCGGTCTGAGGCTTATCTCTCATTGCGGTCCCTGCAAGCTCAGGACTCTGCCCGGTATTTCTGTGCTGCTCACACGGGGACAGGAAATGCAAATGAGCTTTAACACAAACCTTCCGGGCTCTGGCAGAGCTTGTGTTAGATGTTGGAAGCTGAGAGTTGCCAGTGGCCGGGAGCTAATGGGTCACAAGGCTATTTCCAAGAAGTCAGGTGCCGTCACTCTGCACCACAGGTATTCCTGGCCTTTACTGCACACTGCAGGGATTCTGATTTATTCCCAATTTGATTAAGAATGGAATTGTGTACATGGACAAAATGCCTTGCTCCCACTTTATCCCTGTTTGCTCCCAGGCTCATCCTCAAAGCAGCTTTCCTGAATTCTCTGCCTCTTCTCTCCAAAAAGTAAAGGCACAACAGGGAATCACGTGTGGGATCATTTCTTAACAATTAATCACAGGTCTTCATCTCTACTGCTTCATGTTCCCTTCCTCCCTCAGTCTGCAGTCAAATGACTCCACCATGGTTCCTTCTCAAGAGCTGCTGTCCTTCAGAATCAACCCTCTGCAGCCTCAGTTCTCTACAGGCTCCACTTCCCCAGTGTCATGACCAAACATTTTGTGATTATCTCCAAGCATGGAGACTCCAGGAGGTGCCTGAGCCGCTTGTGCCAGTGTTTGGGCACCTTCACACTGTGAAAAAGCATTTGTCTCTGATGATCAGTGAGAACCTCTTGTGATTTTCTGTCTGTGCTCACTGATCGTTGTCCTGACAATGGGCATCACTGAGAAGAGCCCTCGAGTTTCTGTGCACTTATGATAATCCCAACACTTCAGACAACGCCAAGCAGCTTCTGCTTTTTCATGGTAAACAATACCAGCTATGACATCTTTTTTTTAACTTGGGGATATGTTCCACTTCAGCAGTTGAAAAACAAAGAAAGCAGAGTCTGCAAGTTAAGGGAAATAAATTCATGCCCTTCTTGTCCATCAATAGGAAGGATTTTAGCCATTTCTAGGAAAAATGGTCTTTCTCTCACAGGCTGATGATTCCTTGGTAAGACAAAGGCCATCACTCCAAATGTCGCCCTTCCTCCTTTTCCTGAGCTTTATTACTGAGAACCATGTATTCCAGTGTGGAATATTCCTTTGCACTGTTGGCAGTAGTGGTGCTGCTGTGTCCCATCCCAGTTTATAGCCCAACCCCAGGCACTCCCCTGCGAGACAGTGAGAAATACAAAGGAGGCCACTGAGCAGTGTTGAGCAAGCGGTGAAAGAGCTTCGTGTCTATAACGCTCTTTGCTCCCAAAGAGAAAATCAAGCCTCACACGGGGCTGTCTCTCGTCGCTTGCCGCAGCTGCCCTTGTGCTGCTCCTGCCCGGGGCAGGGCCCGGGGCCCGGGGCGGGTGTGTCGGGGCCGGGCAGAGGCGCCGGCGCTGCCCCGGCGAGGCGGGGCCGGGCGGGAGCGG